AGGGACAGCCCCACCACGACCACCCCACCAACCCAGCTGGGCTCTGGGGCTGGCCTCGTGTAGGACAGAGGTGGGACCCCCAGGGCTGGATGGGTGTGTGTGTGTGGGGTCAACCAGTTCTCCCCCATCCCTAAATCCCTCCATGCATCCTCCTCCCCATCATGCCACTGCCTTCCTCCATCACCAAGGCCCTTCATCCTTCCCACCTCCTCCCTTTCATTTTGCTCCTCATCCCCTAAATCTCTGTCTCCTCGCAGGGCAAAGCTGCCCTGGAGCTGCTGCAGCTTCACCCAGGGAGCTGGAGGGACAGGGAAAGCCTACCCAAGGGTGAAAGCAAACCCTGACCTCCCACCCCGCTGAGGAAGGGGGTCACCTCAGAGCAGGGCAGCACCCGAGCCCACCAGTGTCCCCAGGGAGGAGGCACCAGTGCCTGGGCAGCGCCGGCAGATCGTGCTTTGGCTGCTCTTGCTGTCAAAGGGAAGGATTGGGAAGAAATGAGGTCACGCTCCCCTTGTGCCGGGGCTTTGGCTGCACAAACCAAGGGGTGATTAGGGACAAGGGTCCTTCTGCAGGATGTTTTTGCATAATTTCCCCTTGTTTTGCAATATCCCAAAGCTTAGGCGAGAAGAAAAGCCTCATTTTTCCCCGTGCTCCAGGCTCACCCAGCCCCACGTCCCTTGGCAGCTGTTGGCTCCCCTCAGAAATCTGCTCTCCCGTCCCCTCTCTGAAGCTCCTACCTGCTCCACCAGGATCCCTGGGTCCCATCCCATCCTGCCAGCAGGCAGGACTTTGGCTCCTGGGCAGAGTCTGCCTGCAGTGCTGCCCCACTCATTCATTCATCGGCATCTTTCCAACTCTCCTGTAAATCCCCAAGGCAGGAAGCCTTGGCCAGCTGCTGGGATACCCCACGTTGGGGTCACCTTGGGCTGGGGGCAGCCACTGGAGCTGAAGGATGTGTTCAGGCTGGTTCAAAGCTCCTGTTCCTGCAGCCAAGGGCCAAGGGCAGCACGTGCCCCCTGGTGCATGGTCCAGCCTCTGTCCCTTTCCGCTGGTCATGTGAGTGATTTGCAGGACCCCTCACTGCTTCCCAGGTCACTGGCCCATTCCAGAGGGATGTTCTTGCCATGAGCAAGAGATTCCCCAGCATCACAGCCCTTGTGCATCCAGAAAACGGGCAGGGCAGGAACAGGCATCACCTCCCCTGCTCCCAAGTCCTTTTGCTGCAATGGGAAAAGGTGGGAGATTCCTTCCACCTCCAACCCCAGCAGCAAGCCTGACCACTTGGCTCAGACCTCCCCAGAGCTGTGGTCAGTGCCTCCTTCAGAAGCCCATGCTGGAGAGGCCATGGCCAGGGAGAGCTTTGCTGGAGACAACAGCAAGGAGCAGGAACAGGCCTGATGGTGACGTGTCCTCGGGGTGAACTGATGTGAATCAGTAACTTAAGCCACTGATTTTGATCTTGACTACAGATGAGGAAGCAGAGAAGCTGTTGAGATAAGGCTTGCCAAATGTCATCATCTTCTGCATTTTGATTTTTTGGTGGTTCCCCCCAAAGGAACCTTGCTATGGAACAGTTAAATCCTGCTGCTGAGCAAAAGCAGCTGCCAGAAGCCAGGTACCTGCACTCTCCTGCGAGCAGCCCAGCACCACTCAGCTGCTCAGGCTTCTTCCTTATCTCTTTCTCATACCAGGTGATTATTTTTCATTTATTGACTTCATCCTATCTTGGTTGTCTGTTGACACATATCACAGGCACTGGCTTTGGTCGCTGAACCTGGCAGCACCTCCAGTCTGACCGAGCTCAAGGCTTCATGTTCCTTTGCACTCAGAGGTTAGAAGAGGAAAACAAACCTCCTGGTGCCTCGTGCCCTCAGCAGCGTGGTGGCTTGGGGAGGTGCAGCTGCTGGGCTGGGACCAGCACGACCAGCACCCCTTGGGTCTACAGCTGGCACCAGCACCCTGAGGTTACCAGCTGGTTTTCCCTCCCGGTTCTGGGAAAAACAGAGCAAGTTCTTCCCACTGTTAATGTTTGATCAGGACCTGCCTGTTGCTCTCTGAACTCATCCTTGCAATAAAGGCAGGCAGCTGCTCGTGCCAGGCGCCGCGGGCAGGCAGGGTGTTTGCAGGGTGTTTGATGGGAGCCCCAGGCTGCAGCTCAGCCCACAACTCAAACAGGCAGCCCCGAGGGGCCAGTCCTGCAGCCCATCTGCCTGCTGCTGCGTTTACCATCATCTCTGTAAACTCGGGGGTGTCTCTCCTGGTGAGGCTTTGCGGGGAGAAGATGCCTCAGAGCTCAGCTCAGCCCCTGGGCAGGCAGCACGGCCACATACACACCACGTACACACCAGGTACACACCAGGTACACACCACGTACACACCAGGTACACACCACGTACACACCACATACACACCACGTACACACCACGTACACACCAGGTACACACCACATACACACCAGGTACACACTAGGTATACACCACGTATACACCACGTACACACCAGGTACACACCACGTACACACCACACACACACCACGTACACACCACGTACACACCACATACACACCACGTACACACCACGTACACACCACGTACACACCACATACACACCAGGTACACACCAGGTACACGCCACGTACACACGATGTACACGCCGCGTACACACGAGGTACATGCCGCGTACACGCCACGTACACACCACTTACACGCCACATACACACCACTTACACACCATGTACACACCACTTACACACCACGTACACACCACGTACACACCACGTACACACCACGTACACACCACGTACACACCACGTACACACCACATACACACCACGTACACACCACATACACACCACGTACACACCACGTACACACCACATACACACCACATACACACCACATACACACCACGTACACACCACATACACACCACATACACACCAGGTATACACCACGTACACACCACATACACACCACGTACACACCAGGTATACACCACGTACACACCAGGTACACACCACGTACACACCACATACACACCACATACACACCACATACACACCACGTACACACCACGTACACACCACGTACACACCACATACACACCACATACACACCACGTACACACCAGGTATACACCACGTACACACCACATACACACCACGTACACACCAGGTATACACCACATACACACCACGTACACACCACGTACACACCACGTACACACCACGTACACACCACGTCAGGCCGCGTGGCGAGGGGAGAACGGGAGATGGATGCTGAGGGAGCCAAGGAGCCTGGGAGGACCCTGCCTTCCACCTCGTGCCACCAACACCAGCATCCCACCAGTGTGCATCATCTCCCTGAGCCCTCCTCTGGCCTGGATGAGTTTTGGACCAAGAGCACCTGGAGATGCCCCAGCTTTCCCTCCGTCACATACAGCTTTGGCTACGCCCTTATCTCTGCGGGCAGCATGGCAGGTTACCCTGCTCCCAGGGTACTCATCCCAGCATCTATTCCCGGCCAGCAGCCCTGCAGCCCGGCTGTCCAGGGGGATGCAGATCCCAGCCTTTCATCCCAAACGCTGTAGGGGGGGGAAATGTCCTGCCTGCCTTGTGAACTTGCACAGTCTTGGGCTGGGACTTGGCTCTGCTGCAGCTCCTCTCCATGGGGCTTAGCTCATCCCTCTCCTACGGAGAATACCCGGCAGCTGGAGGCCCCTTGCCATCCAGGGACACTCTCTCCCAGTTGCTCCTTTAACAGCCCCCTCAAGGATTTCTCTGGGCCACAATATTCCCCCAGACAAGCCTTTCTTCTCCTCCTGCCTTTCTTCTGTCCCAGGAGCCACTCTGGGACGAGCAGCATTGTCAGGATGGTG